GACTCTCCTCGTAGAGGATAGCCTCCCATTCGATATAGTCCTAGGTATGGACTGGGGAGAGGCAGCAAGGGCCACACTCCATTTGAGAGAGCATGAGTGTAGGCTCCCTAGCCCATCAGGCGGCGTCAAGACTGCCCGTCTGTTCCATGTGTCAAGAGTAGACAACTCCCTGGCGCATTGCTGCCTTAGTGTTCCTGCGTTCGCAAGGCTCGTGAAGAAGGAGCAACTAGAGGAACAGGTTTTTGTAGCCTATGTTAGGCCAGTAACTGAGCCTAAGGAAGAAAAGCCTATAAACCCTGCTATTGCCAAGCTGCTGGAGGAGTTTAAAGATCTAGCTGAGCCGCCGATAGGAGTAGTACCGTGGCCTATCCAGCACCGCATTGAAATTGAGCCTGGCAGTAGAACCCCCAAAGGAGCTGTGTATAGGATGTCTCCGCGGGAGTTAGAGGAGTTGCGCAAGCAATTAGACGAGCTCCTCGATAAGGGTTGGATTAGGCCCAGTTCGTCTCCATTTGGAGCACCTGTTCTGTTCGTTCCCAAGAAAGAGGGAGAGATTAGGATGTGTATAGACTATAGGGGTCTGAATGCTATCACAGTTAAGAACGCTGAACCACTGCCCTGAATAGACGATCTTTTAGATCGGGTGCAGGGGTGCAGACATTTTACAAAGATAGATTTGAAGTCCGGATATCATCAAATAGAGGTTCATCCTGATGATCAGTATAAGACAGCTTTCCGGACTAGATACGGGCACTACGAGTTCATTGTGATGCCCTTTGGACTAACCAACGCGCCAGCGACTTTTCAGCGATGCATGAATGACCTGTTTAGGCCTTGGTTAGATAGGTTTGTTGTAGTGTACTTGGATGATATCCTAGTGTTTAGTAAGACCCTCGAAGAGCATCAGGGTCATCTCAGGCAGGTCTTGGAAAAACTGAGAGAAACTAACTTCAAGATCAACGCAAAGAAGTGCGAATGGGCGAAGACCCAAGTGTTATATTTAGGCCACGTCTTAGACGGAGACAGCATCAAGCCAGAGGATAGCAAAATCGCATCGATCAGAGATTGGCCTACACCGCATACGTTGACAGAGTTGTGGTCGTTCCTAGGCCTAGCGAACTACTATAGGAAGTTCGTAAGGAACTTCTCCACTATCGCGGCGCCCCTTCGCAGATTGCCGAGGAAAGAGACTATCTGGAAGTGGGACAAGGACTGTACGTCTGCTATGAAGAAGTTGAAGCAGGCCCTGATAGAATATCCAGTCCTTAAAGTAGCCGATCCGTCCTTACCCTTTGTCGTCACTACAGACGCTAGCCAGTACGGCATAGGTGTTGTTTTGCAGCAAGACGATGGCAACGGTTATAGGCCCGTTGTAGCGGACCTCGGGTTGGCTTGTGAGACCAGCCCCTTGGCCTGTTCTCACAGGCCTGTGTTATATTCGGGGTAGGCCAGTCCAGGCCGGTACCTCTGTCGGTACCAGCCAGTCCAGTCCAGTCCCGTCAGTCCGCTGGGGTATACCCCAGCCATTGTCTGTTTTCAGTCTCATTCCCCACTTGCACATTTTGGAGTACGTGCGTTGGAGTCTTGCGTGTGGAGCTGCGTTGTGCCATCTTGCTCCCCCTTCTTCCTCCATCTCCATCTCTGTCACTAGCGGAGCACCACACCTGGTGGGTCTGCTACACCCGTAGAGTTCATGTCTCCTAGGATGCCTTTAGAGAAGGTTGCGACATCTACCTATGAGAGGGAACTCTATGCTCTCAGGCAAGCGATAGAACATTGGAAACACTACTTGCTTGGGAGGCACTTCAAAGTCTATTCTGACCATGAGACATTAAGATGGTTAAAGACGCAGGCCAAGATGACACCTAAGCTTACTAGGTGGGCCGCAAAAATAGACCAGTATGATTTTGAGCTCAAGCCAGTCAAGGGTAAATACAATGTAGTTGCGGACGCTCTGAGTAGGAGAGCTGACTACTTTGGAGCGATAGTTCACTATCTGGATATAGGGAGAGACCTGCAGGAAAAAGTTAGGGCAGCCTATGCGCAGGACCCTATTTATAGTGACCTCCTCAAGCGAGTATTGGAGGCCCCAGAGACTGAGCCAGATTACCGCACTATGAGTGGGCTGTTATTCGAGAAGACTAACGTAGTTGACCACTTGTGCGTTCCCAATAGTGAAGAGATCCGTAGTTTGATCCTGGGAGAGTGTCACGACACAGAGGGTCATTTTGGTTGGCAAAAGACTCTAGCCAACCTGATGCACGCGTACACCTGGTCAGGGATGAAGAATGACTGCATAGAGTATGTTCGCAGTTGCAAAGTTTGCCAGCGGAATAAGACCACTACGCGTGCTCCGCTAGGTCTTCTCAGACCCTTGCCTACTCCTGATCAGCCCGGGCATTCAGTATCCATCGACTTTATGGACGCAGGCGTCAAGAGTAGGCATGGCAAAAGCCAAGTCATGGTGATAGTCGATAGGTTTAGCAAGTATGCTGTTTTTGTACCTTTGCCTTCAGAGGTACGAACGGAATTAGTGATCCGTAAGTTCTTTGATCACTGGGTCAGTGAGCACAGGGTCCCCTTGTCCATAGTTAGTGATAGAGACACCCGGTTCACAAGTCAGAACCGGCAGGAGTTGATGAGAGTCTATGGCTCTAAGTTGTTGATGTCCTCTGGCCGTCATCCAGAGACCAATTGTCAGACTGAACAGATGAATAAGATCCTGCAGCAAGTTCTAAGAATGTATATTAGACCTGATCAAGTTGACTGGGATGAGATGCTCCCCAAGGTAGCCAGWGCTTACAACAATAGTGTGCATCTGTCTACGTGCCGCACTCCCAACGAGCTGCATAAGTCCTTTAGGCCGCGCAGACCGTTTGAAGGACTCAACCGGGATCAGATTCATAGGCTACCGCCCGGTACTAGGGAGTTTGCGATCCAGCACGAGAAAGAACTAGCTACTGTTGTAGAGAACCTCAGGAAGGCCCAGCATAGGATGATAGAGCAAGCTAACAAACATCGTCGCCCGTCACAGTTTCAAGTAGGCGACTTAGTCTGGGTCAAGTCTAAAGAGTTTGCTCCTAAGGAGAACATTTCACAAAAGTTACTACCCGTGTATAGAGGACCGTGGCCAGTCCTAGAAGTCAAGGGCGGAGAAGATGGTCCGTCCTACTCAATAGAGATTCCACTGCACCTCCACACCTACCCAGTTTTTCATGCGTCGAAGTTGTTGCCGTGCACAATAAGTGATCAGTTCCCATCTAGGCGCTCCATGATCCCTCTAGACATCGATGGAAGGTATGACATTGACGGCATTGTAGGTGAAGATGTGTTCAGAACAGGAGGTCGAGGTTGTCCTCGGAAACAATATAAGGTCAGATTTGCATATCAGGAGCCAGAAGACGACCGGTGGTTCACCAGAAGTGAACTTCTAGAAACAGCCCCGGACATAGTTAAGGCCTACGAAAGAGATAGGAAAGGTAAAGGTCCTGCCTTGGACTGAAATTTTCTCGGAGGACCTCGAATTTAGGCCGGCGGGAGTGAAACGGTGTTCACCAGTTCGCAGTAGCTGATGCAGATCCCAGGGCTCGATCCCTAGTTCCCCACCTTACCTGTGTACAGTACCTGTGTCAACCCGTAGAGTTGAACCTGCGACCTGTAGGACCGCCAGTGGTAGGTAGGATATCGTAGGTTACAGGGGATAGGGGATTCGGTAGGTTACAGGGGATAGGGGATTCGAACTGTAGACCTGTCGGGTAGGAGTCTAGACAGTCTAGAGGTCTTAGCTGTAGACTTTCCGAAGGGTCAAAGTCGTAGCTGGTACTTACCTGAAAGGGCAGAGTCGTAGCTGCTACAGTACTGAAAGGCCAAGTAGAGGTTTCTAGAAGTGGCCTTTCGGAAGTCAGCCCACTGTAGGTCCAGGTAAGTGGGCAAGTGGTGGAAGTCCACCACGCAGAGTCAGCAGTCCCAGTCCAGTCAGTCCGGTCCAGTCAAGCAAGTACCGTCTGGGACTGTGTACACCGTGGGCCAGGGAAACAGGGCAGACCAACGGGTCACAGAAGTATAAATCAGGAGGCTGCGCACAGCCATTGATTCATTCCGGCGGAAGCCATGCGGAAGCGCTGCCTCAGCGTCTTGTGCGAGGAGGTCTGCAGTGTGCCCGAAGTCGAAGTGGGCCAGGAGCGTAGCATAGCGATAGGGTAGAGGCAGCCATAGCTGCCATAGCTGTAGTAGAGTGTGTGTGTGTGGTGTGAGTGTGCAGAGGGATGCGTGTGGGATATCCAGGGTGGTCCGGTGTGTGAACAGTGGGTTGTTGGGCGCTGAGTCGCCATAGCCAGTGGAAGTGAACTCGTACCTGGAAGCCATATCTCTGAGTACTGTGTGGGCGCATGTCGCCAGTTTGCTGTGCTGCTGTTCACGTGCCTGAAAAGTGTGAATAAGACGAGTCTGATTGCATAGGACAAGAGAGTCTTCCTTCATCCCGATCCATGTGTTGGACCTAAGGAGGTTAGATGCCCCCCTAAATAGAAGGGGCTTTATGCTGTTTTAAAAAACAAAGAGGAAAATGGACATCATCTTGTCGCTAAGATAGTTCAGACGACAACTTTGCGAACAAGCTTTTGCTCTACAAGCAACAACTTTGATTCCGTAGTCCATTGTATCATTTGTCGCACATTGCACAAGAACACCGTTTAACTGAGTGAGGCATGTTCTGCAAGGCTGGATTCAGTCAAGACATTTATCCCTGCATTCAATGAGAGAACATGGCCCACATTTTGCACCCTTGAGGAAATTCGGAATTCCTGTCATCCACAACTTTGTGTCCATTGACCTCGGAAAATGCATGGTGACACCCTTGTCGCCTCCTTCTCCTCCTCCTCCTTTACTTCTTCTTCTTCTTCTTCTTCTTCTTCTTCTTCTTCTTCTTCTTCTTCTTGTCTCAAAAATCGGGGATGGGTTGACGATTTGGTATCAGTTGCTTCCCCAGAGGGCCAGAACCTAATTCTTAAACTCTTTTATTTCCCCATACCAAAAGAATCAGATGAACAAGATGACGATTGACAGTGATGCTCGGTCATATGCTACCTTTATAGGAAAAATGGTGACACGTTCTGCATTTGCGAGGCTGTACCAGACACAGAGATTTCCACGGTTCTGTCACATGAAGAAGCAACAAAACAAAAAAATGATGAAGGAACCACAGTGAGTTGTAGATGGTGTGTGTGAAAACCCAGGAGACGATCGATGTTGATTTGTCTTCACAACGACGATCTCTCTCTACCCTGGTTTATATCAATGCAGTGAACAAGCATCATGAGAAATCGGCTCAAATAGCTGCAACTAACCATAATTTTTCATTGCACTGGTGCACAAGCACAGCATCACAGCTACAGTTTTGTCCACAGGAATGCCCCCATCTGCCAGCAGACATTGCATGTTTGCTGCTCAATATCATTACAAGGAAGGAGGACATAAAAGAACTTTCCTAATGCCATTGCAAGGAAGATGAGCGAGAGCGATAGACAGAAAACCAAATTGGAATGTCATGCTGTAGGCCAGATTGTCGAGTACCAAGCAGAAAGCACAATGCACCAAGATACCATCCAAATAAGAGCAATGCAATGAACTCAAATGTCAATGTTGAAACTCTGTCGCCTCACCAACATAGTATCCAATGTCGCTCTTCTTTTTTGGCGCTTTGCACCCAGCCTATCCTACTCGGCCTAGACTACCCACAGTACGTATTGCAACAGGGATCACTTCATGTCGAAGACCAATGTACGTGATGACGTCGCCAATGCAGACTGCCAGCATACACCAGGTAGGTGCCTTTTCTCCCCTCATCACCTCCTGACTCCCCACATCGTACGCCTTCCCTTCCCGAAGACCACCATCGCCCACAGGGCCCCACACCAGCCTCCGCACTCGCAGCCTGGCTATGGGCGCTGTGAAGCCCGCTGCCACAGCAGCGCCCTCCTCACCTTGTGCACCTGCGTGCGCTTGCTGACCAGTGCATGCGCAGCATGCTCTCGCGAGACAAAACAGCAGCATGGCCACAATGCCTGCACAGGCCAGAATGCCCTCCGCTGGGCGAGGCACCTTCCTACCAGCCCAGCCACTTGCTGAGTGGGCCTGGCATGTGTCTGCCCAGTAGCTTCACGTTGGGCCGAAGTGTCTGCGCCCAGGCCTATGCAGACAGTTACCTGGGCCAGCAGCATTGAGGCCCAAGTGTGCGACGTTGCCGCTGTCACACACTGCCTCCTCATTCGCCTACGGAGGCCCAGCCACGTCGCTCTCTGCATTCTCATTGGCCGACAGCCTCTGGCCACCTCGCTGCTGGAGTTAGCCAGAGGCTCTGCATGTCGTGCTCACACAGGTGCTATTCTGTAACCAACTGGCATGTTGAAATGGTCCGGTGCCCACATGCAGAACCAAGAAATAGACATTGTTGCATCAAATCCAACAATTGGAACAGCAGGAACAATCAGACCGCCAGACACATTCTGCAAATGACTAGACATCAACACACTCCAACACACGAACTTTACAACAACAATTGCAAACCTTTGCCACACAGTGGTGACAAGGGATGCGGATCCAGAGCAAATTGACCAAAAACCTGACACAGGGTGCAATGGACATGGGATTCTTCGGCATGGCCAGTGCCCCAACAAAAAGAACAGCACTAGAAGTACTTTATGACCCACAGGATGGGCAGGAAGTGGTGGAAACGTCCACCGCGCACTGCCTACAGCTAGCCAGGACCTTCTTTATTGACCTCTTGACATTCCATTGAAGGGATCCGCGTGGAAGGGGAGGAGGTGACAGAAATGATCAGACAGTTCATCAATCAAGAACTCCTCACCTGGTGGCAGAAAGTCAAAAGCCAACTGGACTTGTACCACCTAAAAAAAGACATTAAACAAGCAATAAATCAATTCTCAGGGGACTGGTTGGGTAGCAACCAAGGGGGTTGGATTGCACATATCCGCTGAGAGGGGGGACAAACGCAGGGGCAGGAACGGAATGATTTTAAAAGGGACTACTGCATCTGCTTTAGAATGGACCAAGGTAGACCCGGGGGACCCACTGAACCCACCCACAGACTTCCCGGACCTCTTCCCACCTCATCAGCTGACAATGGTGGACATGCATTGGTACGGAACAGCATAAGCCGACGTCGACGGGGAGCGAGGTGGCAAAGTATTTTGGGAGAGCGAGAGCTAGTTTCTCTGAAGTAGGTATCTGGCGCCCGGTGCTGGGCGAAGAGGCTTTCCCTGCTCCCAACAACATGCACAGTCAGAGCAATCTCTGCTAGCAGGTGTCTTTCTCAGTCTTTCTCAGTTTAAGCCAGCTGCTATGGAATGGAGCAGAAGGAATGATTGTGGGGGTTGGGATAGAAATGACTCTCTCACTAGCAACCTGAGCAGTCAATCCTCTGGAGGACAGAGTAATCAATGCTGGCAGGTGTCTTACTCAGTGGTACCTCCTGATACTTTCCTGCTTTGCTGTGTGTAAGGGATGCTGGACCCGTTTTCCAGCAGGTGACGCTCCCCACCAATAGATGGAGCTTTTCCCCGGGCGCTAGTGGTGCCTGCTTTTAGCAGCAGCACTAACACTGCAGGGGGTGTTGTTTAAAAAAAAAAAAAAAAAAGACCTCTTGACCTCCAGATGCTTGCAACGCAGTGGAGACGAGGCAGGAGGAGATCACACAATTCTTACAGCCATTGAACAAGGGACTCACGGAGCAGCAAAAAACATAGCGATGTGTTGAGTTTATAGAATCCGAGTCCCTGGTTGTTTTTTTCTGAAACACTGGAGAGATGGTACACATGGTCTAGTCCCTGATATGGGCTGTGAGGCAGGACAGCTGCTAGAAGTGATGAGCCCTCCACATCCTCAGAAATCAGGACCAGGTCTATGTGTGACCTTGACTGTCGCTCGGTATCTGTGTTCCTCACATGTGGTTAACCAGGGGTGTTTTTTTGGTAAATTTTGCACCGAAACTGTCACATTGTGCTGATTGTTTGCTTTTTTTCTTGTTTTTCTTTTTGTGTTACATATATGTGCTTTAGGGTATGTCATGTGTCCAGTTTTGACATGTTTGGATCAATAATGAAGAAGTTGGCATTTCATTGAATTCGTTGGATGTTTCATTTTAACTTGGACAGTGGCCCATATCGTTTGTTTTTTAAATTTTCGATGAATTTCGCACCGAAATTGCCGGCGAAAACGGAGAAGATTTGGCTCCACGTTAAGCATCTCTCCCTAAGACAGGTGTAGTGAGTATCGGCTTCGTTCTTCAGAATGTGTCATATACCCGTAGCGATAAGCAGATGTCTTGGATGAGCCTTTCATCCTCTTCTACGTAGGCGGGCGGAGGGTGGGGCATCTTCCATCGGTCCATTCACCTGTCAGGGGTCTCGTTGAAGTCCCAGCCACCACCACCGATACCCTTGTGGGGATCTGGGCTTCAGTTTCTTCGAAAAACAATCGTGCAGACCGCTTCCAACTCCAACCTGGCCAGGACTGAGACCTGTCTTCCTCCAGCCCTGTCCACCACCCAGTGGATTGGGTCTATCCGGGATTCCGGGGGGATCCATGTGGCCACCGCCGCACTGCCCGGTTTCAGGGATGGCACACAGAAATCCCTTTTTTTTTTTTTTTTTTTTTTTTTTTTTTTAAACAGAAACATGGCTCCATCTATTGGTGGGGAGCAACACCTGCTGGAAAACGGGTCCAGCTTACAAGGTATAAGAGCATAATAAGGTATTTGCATACTTGCGGCGCATCCCTTGCGCACGTGCGGCGCACTGCGCGTTGCGCACCTGGCGCCCGCACCCTGTGCGCCGCATGGGCAAAATTCGGGGTCAGCCAAAAAAAAAAAAAAGTTGGGGAGGGCGTGAACGGAAGTTCCCACGCCCAGCCAAAATTAGGACATTGCCCGCGCAAATTTTTTTCAGGGCCGCGCCGCCCCAAAACCTGTGTGTCTTCATGTTCGCTGTACACAACTCCATACTATCTTCAGTGTATCTGAGCCCTTTCAGAGGTCCAATACAGTCATGATGAGGAGGCATCTGTGGAACCCTTGCTTTTGTCTCATTCCACGTATAGAAAACGACAGAACTGACAGTTGTTGTTGTTGTTGTTGTTGTTGTTGGGGTCGGTCTCTCGGTCTCTCGGTCGGTCGGGTTGAGTGCCGTTGAAACTGATCGTTGTTTCCCTGAGGAAATTCGCTGCGACTGATGCAGTGAGTGCCCTTCTATCACGCCTCGTTATCGTGGGACCTTGGCAATGGTCCCATCATCCACGTACCAGGTGCTCTCTCTCTCTCTCTTTGGTCGCGTGGGCCTCTCTGGCATGTGACCCTCTCGGTGGCGGCATGGTCTGCAGTTGTGTTATGGTACTCGGTAGTTCAGCAATTGGGGGGCCCATATCGAGGAAAGGATTTTCTGTCTTTGACGTGAAGAGAACATTGTGAAGGAATTTAAGTTTTGTTCGTGGAAAAAAAAAAAAAAAAAAAAAGAGAATGTCCCTGACAAGTTGAAAACCAACAACGTGGCGATGTATCTTTCCATGTTCTAGAGAAAGATTCATTCTAATTTTGCACAAATCGGAGAGTAGTCGAACCTGCCACCAGAATCCGTTGGGCCTCTGGGCCTCGCTGCGCTACTCTCGAGATGCACAACAGACAAAAATCACGGCGGTGTATTTTTCCAAATTCTAGCGGAAGATTCACTCTTGTTTTGCACATTTCGAGAGTAGTGCAGCGAGGCCCTCTGTCACATGAGGGCTGCAAGTCCAGCTGTAGTCCATGTAAGGGCCTCGCTCCACTACTCATGCACAAAAGACAAAAAATACGGCGGTGTATCTTTCCATGTTCTAGCAGAAGATTCACTCTCATTTTGCACATTTGGAGAGTGGTGGAGCGAGTCCCCAGGCTACCGTTTTTTTTTTTTTT